CCCCCCCCCAGAAAAATGGGAGTGTATCTGGGTGCTTCTGATTTCATTTCCCCCAACCCATCTGTCTCATTCTGTCCCTGTTTCTGTCTCTGTCTCTCTCTATGTCTCTGGCTCTCTGGTTCTCTGGTGCCAACCGGCTAAAAAAAATGCCGATTTCTATGATTTCCTTACCTTGATGAGCGCCACTCGTCAAAATAATGAAATCGAAGAAACAGGCATTTTTCCTCCAGTTTGGCAATTCTTGTCTAATTTGTATTTTTTGGCTCAGCACACATTATGTCCATATAAAAATACATTTCCATGTGAATTTTACGAGAAAACATTAATTAATTATACAAAATAAGTAAATTTTCAGCTTTCAATGACTCTCAAGTTATAGAAGCTACCAAACTTTGGTGGCCATTTTCTCACAAATTCTACCCCAGAAAACAAGTCACCACACTTTCCTCAATCGCACATATCTAGACTTCTACTCAAGATATATGAGTATTTTTATCACCAAAAGAAATACAAATATTATAATAAACTTAAAGATGATACCAATAACTCAATAATATGCTCAAAATTTGACGAGCACCTGATTCCACCGCTCCCTGACACATGTTTTGTATTCCTCTCCGCCTTGTAGAGACATGAAAAAGATGGGCATGTACCCCGCCCCCCTGGGTAGCCCTCCACAAGACGATGACAGCCGCTACATTTATGAGCACTCAGAGGCACGACACGGGCTGAGGTCCAAGAGAAAGGCCACGGCAAACACGAGACTGCGCTGGACCAAGGCAGAGATGCCTTACCTCTTCGCTAAAGGACATTTTGGTAAGGAGATCGAATGGTGATCTATCATGTTTGTTTGTGGGGGTTTTTAGTAGAGGTTTTACGGCGCTTGCAACAGCCACTGCATGCGAAGCGTCTAACCACTTTATCACAGACGCCAGTCAGACTATTGTTTGAGTCAATTTTTTACGGCACTTGCAACACAATAAGGTCATATGAGCGCCAGAAGATTAGAGGTGTTAAAGAGAGTAACAAAAATAAAAAAGAAAGAAGGGAGATGAGGACGATAGATGTTTGAAAGGAAAGAAGAAGCAACCATACCAGAGCACCCGCCAACCACCCACCTATTATTTTTTTGTTTTTTTTCAAGGTTTAGAATTTTTTTAAGGGAGCCAAAGAACCAAAGGTAGACCAGAAGCAATGTGGACAAGTCATAACTCAACCTGATGAAGAGAGGAAAGAGGTGTATCGATAAGGAGAGTGCATTGTATTGTTGTTTTGTTTTTAGTAAGGTTTTACGGCGCTGGCAACTGCATAAGGTCATATGAGCCCCAATCGTATTGGTGTGAGAGCTGATTATGAGGATCGATTGAAAGGGCGGGAGGTGGAGGGGGGTGCGGGGGGGGGAGAGATAGTCGAAAGGATTTCTTAACATTCTCTAACGACCTTCTTGGTTTTTGTTGAATGTAATTCACTCGCCATAGAGATATCAATTTACTAAAAGAAGTCATCATGCTCATAAAAGGATCATTCATTTTGTGGTCATAGATCTATCTCTGGTTACATTATTACTTCTTTCCTTTTTCCCCACAGATCATTTTCTTGTTGGTCATAGATTCTGTACCTTTAACTATATCATCGTTCTTTCCTGTGTCCGCCAGACTCCAAAGAGGAATACATGATGAGGCGGTCTATGACCGAGTGGGAACGATACACCTGCATGAAGTTCTACCCCGCCACCAGCTCACACAAGAACAGCGTCCGCTTTCAGAACGGAGTCGGGTAAGTTGATACAACGGTTCATGCTGCCTTTGTCTTTTTTTTGTATTATAGTTTGTTAGTAACTTCTGTTTTTTAATATATACATGTATATTTTTACTTTTTTTCCCCACTGTCCTTTCGTGTATAGTTAATGTATGGTTGTGAAAGTTCTTCTTTATGTGGTTGAACTGGTTTTTCTTGTTTCTGTTAAAATGTTTTTTCTTGTGCGAATGATTATGTGATTGGTGTAAAGTGCTCAGAGCTCATACTAGTATGGGATAGAGCGCTATATAAATGCAATCCATCATTATTATTATTATTATTATTAATATCATTATTATTATTATTACCATTATTATTGTTATTATTGTTGTTGTTGATT